TTTTCTTCCAAAGAGCAAGTGTATTAATACTCTCAAAAACAACAGAATGACCTCGGTTAGTTTCCATGGCAAACCATTCAACATCACAGTAATCCAACTCAATGCCCTTACCACTAATGCAGAAGAAGCTGAAATTGAACCGTTCTATGAAGACCTACAAGGCCTTCTAGAACTAACACCAAGAAAAAAAGATGTCCTTTTCACTATAGGAGATTTAAGTGTAAAAGTTGCAAGAGATACCAGGAGTCACAGGCAAGGGGGCCTTGGGATACAAAATGAAACAGGGTTAAAGTTAATGGGGTTTTGCCAAGAGAAGGCACTGGTCATAGCAAACACCCTCTTCCAAAAACACAAGAGACGACTCTACACATGTACATCTCCTGATGGTCAATACCAAAATCAGATTGATGATATTTTCTGCAGCTGAAGATGGAGAAGCTCTCTACAGTCAGCAAAAACAAGGCCTGGAGCTGACTGTGGCTCAGATCATGAACTCCTTATTGCAAAATTCAGACTTAAATTGAATAAAGTAGGGAAACCCACTAGGCCACTCAGGTATGACCTAAATCAAATCCCTTCTGATTATGCAGTGGAGGTGACAAATAGATTCAAGGGATTAGATCTGATAGACAGAGTGCCTGAAGAACTCTGGACAGAGGCTCATGACATTGTACAGGAGGTGGTGACCAAAACCATCTCCAAGAAGAAGAAATGCAAGAAGGCAAAGTGGCGTCTGAGGATGCCTTACAAGTAGCTGAGAAAAGAAGAGAAGTGAAAGGCAAAGGAGAAAGGGGAAATATATACTCAACTGGATGCATAGAGAGAGCAAGGAGAGATAAGAAAGCCTTCTTAAGTGAACAGTGCAAAGAAATAGAGGAAAACAGCAGAATGGGCAAGACTGGAAATTCTTCAGGAAAATTAGAGATACCAAGGGGACATTTTATGTGAAGATGGGCACTATAAAGAACAGAAACAGCAAGCACCTAACAGAAGGTGAAGCGATTAAGAAGAGGTAGAAAGAATACACAAAAGAACTATACAGAAAATGTCTTAATGACCCATATAACCATGATAGTGTGGTCACTCACCTAGAGCCAGACATCCTGGCAGAAAAAACATTTGAAAAACTGAAGAATCATTCATGACAAAAACTCTCAACAAAGTGACTATAGACAGAAGGTAACACAACAAAATACAGGCAGTATATGACAAGCCTACAGCTAACATCATACTCAACTGTGAAAAGTTGAAAACTTTTCCACTTAGATCAAGAAGAAGAAAGAATGCCCACTCACCAGTTTCATCCAGTGTAATATTGGAAATCCTTGCCTGAGCAATAAAGCCAGGGAAAGAAAGAAAGCCAGGATAGGCATCCCATCAGGAAGGAAGAATTAAAATGGTCACTTTTTGCAGATGACATATTATACTGATATATAGAAAAACCTAAAGAATCTACAAAAAAAATGTTAGAGCTAATAAATGACTTCAGCAATATTTCAGGATACAAAATTAAGATTGAGAAACCTGTTGTGTTGCTATACACTAAAAACAAGCTAGCAGAAAGAGAAAATAAGAAAGCAATTCCATATATGTTGCATAAAGAAGATTAAAATATCTAGAAATAAATTTAAGCAAGAGGTAAAAGACCTGTATATTGAAACCTGTAAGACATTGATCAAAGAAGCTGAAGACACAAATAAATGAAAAGATACTCCATGCTCGTGGATTGGAAGAATGTTGCTAAAATGTCCATACTATCCAAAGCAATATACAGATTCAGTGTAATCCCTATCAAAATTTTAAAGGTATTTTTCACAGAAATAGAACAAACAACACTAAGATTTATATGGAACTGTAAAAGACCTTGAATAGCCAAAGCAATTTTGAGAAAGAAAAAAGCTGGAGGCATTGTGTTCCCTGATTTAAAACTATATTACAGTGCAACAGTAATCAAAGCAAGATGGTATTGGCAGAAAAACAGACATAGATCAATGGAACAAAATAGAGAGCCCAGAAATAAACCTACACACATATGGTCAATTAATGTATAACCAAAGAGCCAAGAATAGACGATGGAGAAAGGAGAATCTTTTCAATGAACAGTGCTGGGAAAACTGGACAATGGTTTTCATTAAAGAATGAAACTGGGCCACTATCTTACTCCATAAACAAAAATGACTTCAACATAGATTAAAGACTTGATTGTAAGACCTGAAACTACAAAACTCCTGGAGGAAAACACAGGAACTGTGTCCCTTGACATTAGTCTTGGCGATGATTTTTTGGATTTGATGCCAAAAGCAAGTTCAACAAAAACAAAAATAAACAAGTGAGACTACATCCAAATGAAAGCTTCTTCACAGCAAAAGAAACCATGAAGAAAATGAAAATGCAACCTAACAAGTGGGAGAAAATATTTAGAAATCATGTTATCTGTTAAAGGTTTAATATCCAAAATATATAAGGAAATCATAGAGAAAGTAAACTCAATAGCAAATAAACAGACATTCCAATTTATTTATTTTTTTTTTCATTTATTTTTATTAGTTGGAGGCTAATTACTTTACATCATTGCAGTGGTTTTTGTCATACATTGAAATGAATTAGCCATGGATTTACATGTATTCCCCAAAACAAGCAGAGAATCAGAACATTTTTCAACAAAAGCCTACAGGTGATCAACAAGTCCATGAAAAGATGCATCACTAATCATCAGGGAAATGCAAATCAAAACCACACGAGGTATCACTTCATATCTGTCAGAATGGTCATTATCAAAAAAGACAAAAAAGAGCAAGTATTGGTGGGAATGTGAATCAGTGCTAGCCACTATGGAAAACAGTATGGAGGTTTCTCAAAAATGAATGGTAGAACTACTGTATTATACAGCCATTCCACTTCTGGGTATTTATCCAAAGGAAATGAAAACACTAAGTTGAAAAGATATATGCATCTCCATGTATATTGAGTGTGATATGCAAAATTCAAGATGCGGAAGCAACCTAAGTCTTCATCATTTAAGAGATGAATAAAGAAAGTGTGGTATACATATACAATGGATTATTACTCAGCCTTAAGATAGAAGGAAATCCTGCAATATGGATGAACCTGCAGGACATTACTCTAAGTGAAATAGAAAAAGACAAACACCATATTATCTTACTTATAAGTGGAGAATAAAACAAAGCAAATGGAATTCAAAGATATAGAGAATGGATTGGATTGGTGGTTGCCAGAGGTGAGGGTTGGGGAGTGAAATGGGTCAAACGGTATAAACTAAGTTATTTTTTTAATGTTCTCGGCATATAATTGTGACTACAGCTTTGTAACTATCATTAACAATATCATACTACATATTTCAAAACTACTAAGAGAAAAGATCTTAAAATTTCTCATCACAATATAAAAAATATATATAACTATTTGTGGTGATGGATATTAATGAGATTCACTGTGGTGATCATTTCACAGTATGTACAAATGCTGAATCATAATGTACACTTGAAACTAACATGCTATAAGTCAATTATATCTCAATTTAAAAACAAAAATAGCTTGGACAAGTGGAGATAGCCAAGGAGCAGGGTGGGGTCAGAGGATGGAAAATTATTAACAGGAAATTTTGAAGCAAGGAGGGATTCTGAATAAACTGACCTAACAGGATTTTTTAAATATTTATTTATTTATTAGTCTTAGTTGCAGCACATATGGTATCTAGTTCCCTGACCAAGGATCAAACCCAGATCCCCTGCATTGGGAGCAAGGTGTCTTGACCACTGGACCACCAGGGAGATCCCTAAAGGGATTCTTGCTGGAGGCAGACCAGGTGGTTAACCTTCACCCGGGAGATGAGGCACCTGATCAGATATAAAGTAGCTGTTGTTCTAGGAGCAAGTGTCTTTTAATTTCACTACCATAGTCACCATCTGCAGTGATTTTGGAGCCCAAGAAAATAAAATCTGTCACTGCTTCCACTTTTTCCGTTTCTATTTGCCATGAATGATGGGACTGGACGCCATGATCTTGGTAGAGGTTCTGATTAAACAAACTTAGCAGAGGTCTTGCTAAACTGGGATTTGACAGGTGGGTCCACAAGAAGGTTCAGGAGATGGACTGAAGTTTGACCAAGAATCTTTGTCCATGGTCACAGCACTTCCTGTCTGGATACCTCAGAGCCCAAAGGTCAGCCCACGAGCAGATACCGCACACGCTGCCTTATGCAAGGAGTCCTATCTTCCCCAACACGCATGTCAAACAGGCCACTGATAGGAATTCCCAGCACAGATTAAGAAATGCTTGGCCAACAGGCCTCATTCAATACAACTGAAACGGTGGAGAAAGAGTAGAAAACGTCTTTGCTTACAACTATTGTATTTAGCAATTATTTAACTCATTTGACCATAAGAAGGAAATGGATCTATTTTAAAGTGACCTGCGCTTGTAATTAAGGTTTTATGTTTCCTGTTGTGAATTCTGCTTCAATTTTTACTTTGCTTAAAACTATAAAGTCTGTTTTCTGTGCCAGGAAAACAGTCTCTACTTTGACCCCCGTAATATTTGTTCTGTTAACTGAGACGATAATGAAAATTATTGAACTGAAACTAAACAAGCACTTGCAAAGATTGTCCAGGCTAAACTGGTATTTTGTTTGGTATGCATTCCCAGTTAGGCGTTGATGTTTTCCCAAAGGCTCAGGACCTTCCAAGTCCTAAGCTCCACCTAGACCTCGAAGATACTGCCCCCCCGCCATCATTCCTTTATTAATCTGGTTTCAATTTGTCAAATGCTCAATTGACAGCTTATCTATGGGAACAAATGGCTTTCCCTCTTTAATATTTCTGTTTAATATCCCTTTCTGCAAGCCAGAAGATGAAATTTCAGCCAAGCCTACAGAGAGAGGAATTGTCAGGGGGAACCTTTCCTGGGGATCACCCAGCCATCCGTCTGTCCGTCCGTCTGTCAATGTAAGTGCGGGGATGGGGCGCCTTTGTGGCTGTTCTATGGGCTTGCAGCCACTACGGGGGCCCAGACAGAGCAGGAGAAGTGACTGCCAGACCCAAAGCTTGGCACAAAGAACCAGCTGTCAGCCAGATAATGCACTGGGCCAGCGACATGAAACCCAATCATTAAGTGTTGGGGGGATTGGTCAGAGAGAGAGAAAGACTCTTTGTCCCGAGTGTGTGGAGCAGATGACGGCGGAGTGCGGGAGAAGGGCTCTGACTCATGATGCCACGAGGTTTGTTCCCAAAACAGATCTGGGGACATTATCCGGGGATGGAGCCAAGGGCACAGCAGGAGATGGAGGCTCAAGACAGACCCCACTGCAGAGGGTGATGAAAGACTGTCCCCTCGTCCCCGTGGCCGCAGGGCCCGGAGAAGATTCCGGAGGCAGCCCTCCAAGGTGGTCGGAGACAGAGGAATTCAGCTATTTGGAACTCTTTGGCAGTTTGCCTTTCTTGAGCAATTCCCACCCCACCCCACCCCCGTTTACGATTTATTGGATTCAGGGGCCACCTTGTAATAATATCCTTTGAGACCAAATTAGACTTTAACGCATAACATATTCACGCTCCAAGGCTTAAGAGTTCACTTCCTGCATTCAAAGAGCAAAGGGATTGAGTCAAATGACCCTACGATCCCCAGCTTTGAGGGACCCACCACCAGAGGCAAAGCGACCAGTTTTAAGACGTGGGAATCTTCTCCACATCGTCGTTCAGGCAAGAATTCTACGGCTTCCCGCAGGCTGTGTGCACCTGCTGTTCCCCGTGTTGAATTCCGTGTTTGCCGTCCTTCCTCTGCCCACGTTTACCTTCCAGCTCACACCCAAGGTGTATGCACACCCAGCGCAAACAGCCCAGATCTGCAAGACACTTTCTGAGCATCCATCCTACTTTGGGTATACACACACACACACACACACACACACACACGCACACACACACACACACGCACACACACACTCAACTCCAGGGGCCAGAATAAGGGAGCAAGCAGCTGCACTCAGACCCAGCAGCCCTGGAGGGGGTCCGGCGGGAAAGCACGAGGGTCCGGTTGCAATGCAGAACAATGAGCTCAGCAGAGGCTGGGGGGCGAAACGGTGCGGAGAGAGGGGTGGTTCATCCTGGAAGGAAAGGGAAGGGTTTAGGAGATGCTTCCAAGAGAAACTGACCCCTGAGTTAGCTTTGGAGGATGCTGAGGTGTTCAGCAGCAGGAGAAGGCAGTAAGGAAGAGGCTGTGGGGCAGCCTGTGGGGTCAGGAGCTCTGAGATTTGAGTGCGGGGGGAGCTTATGATGCTGGAGGCCACACCACTGACAGCTGAGCCCAGACCAGAAGTGAGCATCTACCTGATAGTGGTGAGAGGCTCCTGGGATTCTCCAGGCAAGGGATGCTGGGTGCTCCTGGAGATGCACAGGAGGAGATGGACTAGAGGGCCATTTAGGAAATGGAATGCACAGAACTCAGGATGCAGTTGACACAGGGTAAGAAGGAAGACAGGGCTAAGTGGGGATGAGTCTTCAGATTCAGGAATACAGTGTTAGAACCCTCAGGAAGATCCATTTTAAAAGGAAACATATCCATAAGCTAATGGGACAAAATGTATCGAATGGATAGTAAGTGAAAGCTGTTCAGTCAAGTCCGATTCTTTGTGACCCCATGGACTGTAGCCCGCCAGACTCCTCTGTCCATGGGTTTCTCTAGGCAAGAATACTGGAGTGGGTCGCCATGCCCTCCTTTAGGGGATCTTCCTAACCCAGCGATCGAAGCTGGGTTGCCTGCCCTGCAGGCGGATTCCTTACAGTCTGAGCCACCAGGACAAAATGTGTCAGAGTGCTTTTGCCATGAATGCAGCATGGCACCCAGGGGCATAAAGGGTCAAGTTCTTGTTGCTGAAGACACTTGTTAGAAAGACGGGAGTGGGAGATTAAAGGCACACCCTGTTTCAGAGCTCCATCTTAAGCTTGTTCAATGTTCGAAAAGCAGTTGCCAGGTTTCTAAACCTAATCACTTGCAGGATACAAAAGAATAAAGAAGTGACTTCCATTTTCAACAAGATAATGAGCATTATTGTTGTTTAGTTCCTCAGCCGTGTCTGACTCTTTTCCAACCCTGTGGACTGGAGCCCGCCAGGGTCCTCTGTCCATGGGACTTCCCAGGCAAGAATACTGGAGTGGGTGTCATTTCCTTCTGCAGAGGATCTTCCTGACCCAGGAATCAAATCCACATCTCCTGCATTGGCAGGCAGATTGTTTACTGCTGAGCCACCTAGGACATTTAAAAAGGCATACTGAAATACAGTTTCCTTTCAAATGATTGGATAAACCAGCAAACTCTAGGGCTAGAAATAAACAAAAGAGGCAGGTCATCATCAAAACTGGGGAGACCCAACTGATCTTGAACTGTGTGTGTGTGTGTGTGTGTGTGTGTGTGTAGGGGTGAGGGGAAATTGGAATGAAGAGCACCCTGACAAAACTGGGGCTCAAAAGGGTTACACTCCTGGAAGTGCCCATCAGGGGAAATGACTTCTCTACAAAGGCAAGCAAGAAGGTGGTTTGTCCTAATCACCAAATCCTTAGGCATTTGGAAGAAGTAACACACACCTTCCAGGAAAAGTCTTCCTCAACCTGGGCTTCTGATAATACTCACAGATAAGTAACCATAAATCTGAAATCACACACACTTCCAAATAGATCACCATGACCATCTTTAGGAAAAGGACATAATAGAACCAGACCAACCAAGATAGATACTGAATCATGGACTCAAATTTTATCAAGACAGAAGAAAGAGAGGATCAAGATCAGGGATCCACAAATTTCTCCTGTAAAGGACTAGATAGTAAATATTTTAGGCTTTGAGGATCAGACATTCTCTGTTACAACTGCTCATCACTAGTCATCACGAAATGCAAGTCAAAACCTCACACCTGATAGAGTGGTTTTTACCAAAAAGACAAAAGGTAAAACACGTTGGCAAAGATGTACAGAAAAGGTAATCCTTATACACCTTGTAGGTGGGACTGTGGAATGTAAAATGGTGTAGCCACTGTAGAAAATGGCATGGAGGATCCTCAAAAGATTAAAAACTGACCTACCATATGATCCACCAATCCCCCTGCTGAGAATATATTTGAAGGAGTAAAATCAGTGTCTCAAAAAGATACCTGCACCACCATGTTCACTGCAGCATTATTCACTATAGCCAAGATATGGAGACAACCTAATGTTCATCAATGAATGAATGGATAAAGAAGATGTGATATACACATACAATGGAATATTATTCAGCTGTGAGAAAGAAGGAAATCCTATCATTTGTGACAACATGGATAGGCCTTGAGGGTATTATGCTAAGTGAAATAAGTCTGAAAAAAAACACTGTATATTTAGAATCTAAAAAATATCAAACTTGTAAAAGTAGAGAGTAGAATGGTGATTACCAGGAGACAGGGGATTGGAGTGATATTAAAGCTCCAACTTTGCAACTAGTAGATAAATAAATTCTAGAGGTCTAAGGCACAGCATGTGATTGCAGTCAACAAAACTATATTATATATTTCATAGTCATAAAAAAAACTAGATCTTAATTGTTCTCATCACAAAGAAGAAATGATAATTATGTGAAATGATAGAGATATTAGCTAACACACAGTGATCATCATATTGCAATATATAAGTGCACCAATTCAACACATGTACATCTTAAACTTACACAATGTTGTATGTCAGTTACATCTCAAAAAATAAAAGAGAAAAAAAGCTCACAAAGCAAGCCATCTTTAAAAAAAATAAATAAAAAAGCAGCGTAGAGGGTGAAGTTAGAAAACCACCATGGGGCTTCCCTGATGGTCCAGTGGTTAAGAATCTGCCTGCTGTATCAGGGGACATGGATTCAAACCCTGCCCACAGAACTAAGATCCCACATGCCGATGTGCCGTTAACTACGGTACTACAACAGAACAAAGATCCTGAGAGCCACAAAAAGACCCAATGCAGCCAAGTAAATTTTAAAAATTATTAATAAAAAGAAAAACGAAAACCACCTTAAACCATGCTTCATCCTAAAAGTTCAAGCAAACTAATTTCACAAGGAATAAGCAACAGAAAATTATCAAGGTCAAATCCCATACAAAATTATTATAAGAAAAAAGAGAAGTAGAATAATCCTGCACAGACAATAAAAGCGTGAACAAAGGCATGATCACAAAACCGATCAAAACTATTATAACTTTAAGAAAATTGTGTAAGACATAAAACAGAAAAACTCACCAGTGAGGCAACAGAATTAAGAATTAGAAATAAAGAAAAATCAATTTCAGAAGCAAAGGCTACCCTAGGCTACACTATAAGGAATATAATAATAAACCCAGAAAAGAAATGGACGAATATTTTTAAGGATGTCACAGAAAGTGACAAATATTAAAGATAAGCAAAGGATATTAGACCCAGGAGCTCTTGAAGGAAAAAAAAAACAAGAATCAAAGAAAAAACCTGAGTAAGTACTAAAAACCACAGTTCAAGAACTTTTCCTGAATTAAAAAAAAAAATCTGAAGCTATATTGAAAAAGTACATCACATATCTGAGAACAGTGACCCAAAATGGTCAAGAGTACTAAACTTTAAAAACAAAAGGAAAGATCTGTTGGCCATCTAAAAAAGCCAAAAAGCAAACTCACAAGAAAACATGGTGACTATTAAGAAAAAGACTATATTATCAAACTTTTTGACAGAACAACTTTATGAAAAGAAAGTGAAATAATGTACTTAAGACACTCAAGGAAGAAATAAATAAGAATTTTATATCCACCAACTGACTTTTAAGTATAATAGGCACAAACTGTTACCAACATGCCAGAATTCAGAATATTATTCATGAGTCTTCCCGAGCAATCTATTAGACATCAAGATTCAGACAACCAAAATGAATAACAATATTGACTTAAATATTGGTGAGGCATATGTATAATACACACATGCACACGTACATCACACACACATATACAAATGAAGGGTAAGAGAGAGATGGTATGTAATGACTACAAGCTTTGACAGTGTAACTATAGTACAACCATTTCAAAAACGATGGAGGGAGAGGAAAATGGAGGAAGAATGAGAGAACACATGCCCAAAAAATGTAATATTTTCAGGAACCACATTAGTGGTAGTATTGGTATTATTAACATTATTCTGAGACTTCTGTGTGTATAATATGGCTTAAAACCCATAAGTTTTTATGGGATATTCTAATTCTATCATCTCCTGCATGTTTGAGAACTAGATTCTCAGTTATGAAAGAAAGATGATACAGGCACAATTGAGAAGAGGTTAAGCTCTACAGACTCTGATTTGAATTGGACTCATAGGATATTTTACTTTTAATATACATATAAAAATATATATGCATAATATACTTCTTAGCACTGTTTTGAAAACACCTCTTAGGGACAAAATTGTGGTTTGGAAATATCATTTCTCACTGAAAGAAATCTAGCCTTCTTGGAGAAATGGCTGATTTCATGTCTGCAAAAAGAGAAGTT